TCTCTGGTCTGGACTTGAACTCCATGTGAGATCTGGATACCTCCACAACACCTACTGACCCCTAATTTTGTTATTTTACTTTGAAAGTTGCCAGAGGGCATGTATGCTTTCCAGAGAGAGAGAGAGGAAGAGGGAGAGAGCAACCCCAATGGATATTTCAACCAGCTCCCATAACCACGAGGCAACAGGTGACCTTCTTTAGGTTAATCATGCAACTTTTTCTCTTGTTAAAAAATATACTAAATAAAAACTTTTTTTTTTAAGAGAGATTTTTTTTACTAGAGGGTGTATGTGTTCGCCAGAGAGACAGAGAAACAGAAAGCGAGAAATCAGCCCACAGGGGGGTTGACCATACTTTAATCCCTTCCTTTCTATTCTCCTCTTGGGATTTTTGGGCACGTACGCACATGTGCCTTGCGTAAGTTTTTCTGTTTTTGGTTTTTTTTGAGAGTTTTTTGCTATAGGGCGCGTGCGCTCGACAGACAGAGAGAGACATAGAGACAGAAAGCGAGAAATCACCCCCCAGGGGGGATGGTCACGTCACAATCCCTTCTCCTCCATTCTCCTCTCAGGATCTTGGGCACGCACGCACACACACCTGGTGTGAGTTTAAGCCACCAGGTCCAGGACTCAAACTGCGGTCGACTACATGGGAGTTCAGTGACATAGCCATTACGCTAGCTGCTGGTCCCGCCTTGCATGAGTCTGGGACTCTGTTGGTCCCAAAATTTAGCTTAAATATCTTTAGGGAGACAGACAGCTCCATGGCTCCTGCGATCTAGCCATTTTGGAAAAAGGAAGATGTCCCACTGATAACTGGGCCTCCAGCATACAAAACTCGCCAGAACAGCCCTTCTTCAAGAGACAGACAGCTCCATGACTCCTGCGATTTAGCCATTTTGGAAAAAGGAAGATGTCCCACTGATAACTGGGCCTCCAGCATACAAAACTCGCGTGAACAGCCCTTCTTCAAGAGACAGACAGCTCCATGACTCCTGCGATCTAGCCATTTGGGAAAAAGGAAGATGTCCCACTGATAACTGGGCCTCCAGCATACAAAACTCGTGTGGTAGGAATACCACTTACAAGTCTCCTGTCTCTGTATCACTCTTTGTCTCTCTCTACCTCTGTCTCTGTCCTCTCTCTCTCTCTCTGTCTTTTTTTTTTTTTTTAATTTTTGCTTTTTCGAATTTTTTAAGGTGAGGCATTTTACAGGGACTTTTGGCTCCTCCTAGGTCATTATCTTGTTAATAATCCCCTCTCCTCCTCCCAGAACAGCCCTTCTTCAAGAGACAGACAGCTCCATGACTCCTGCGATCTAGCCATTTGGGAAAAAGGAAGATGTCCCACTGATAACTGGGCCTCCAGCATACAAAACTCGTGTGGTAGGAATACCACTTACAAGTCTCCTGTCTCTGTATCACTCTTTGTCTCTCTCTACCTCTGTCTCTGTCCTCTCTCTCTCTCTCTGTCTTTTTTTTTTTTTTTAATTTTTGCTTTTTCGAATTTTTTAAGGTGAGGCATTTTACAGGGACTTTTGGCTCCTCCTAGGTCATTATCTTGTTAATAATCCCCTCTCCTCCTCCCAGAACAGCCCTTCTTCAAGAGACAGACAGCTCCATGACTCCTGCGATCTAGCCATTTGGGAAAAAGGAAGATGTCCCACTGATAACTGGGCCTCCAGCATACAAAACTCGTGTGGTAGGAATACCACTTACAAGTCTCCTGTCTCTGTATCACTCTTTGTCTCTCTCTACCTCTGTCTCTGTCCTCTCTCTCTCTCTCTGTCTTTTTTTTTTTTTTTAATTTTTGCTTTTTCGAATTTTTTAAGGTGAGGCATTTTACAGGGACTTTTGGCTCCTCCTAGGTCATTATCTTGTTAATAATCCCCTCTCCTCCTCCCAGAACAGCCCTTCTTCAAGAGACAGACAGCTCCATGACTCCTGCGATCTAGCCATTTGGGAAAAAGGAAGATGTCCCACTGATAACTGGGCCTCCAGCATACAAAACTCGTGTGGTAGGAATACCACTTACAAGTCTCCTGTCTCTGTATCACTCTTTGTCTCTCTCTACCTCTGTCTCTGTCCTCTCTCTCTCTCTCTGTCTTTTTTTTTTTTTTTAATTTTTGCTTTTTCGAATTTTTTAAGGTGAGGCATTTTACAGGGACTTTTGGCTCCTCCTAGGTCATTATCTTGTTAATAATCCCCTCTCCTCCTCCCAGAACAGCCCTTCTTCAAGAGACAGACAGCTCCATGACTCCTGCGATCTAGCCATTTGGGAAAAAGGAAGATGTCCCACTGATAACTGGGCCTCCAGCATACAAAACTCGTGTGGTAGGAATACCACTTACAAGTCTCCTGTCTCTGTATCACTCTTTGTCTCTCTCTACCTCTGTCTCTGTCCTCTCTCTCTCTCTCTGTCTTTTTTTTTTTTTTTAATTTTTGCTTTTTCGAATTTTTTAAGGTGAGGCATTTTACAGGGACTTTTGGCTCCTCCTAGGTCATTATCTTGTTAATAATCCCCTCTCCTCCTCCCAGAACAGCCCTTCTTCAAGAGACAGACAGCTCCATGACTCCTGCGATCTAGCCATTTGGGAAAAAGGAAGATGTCCCACTGATAACTGGGCCTCCAGCATACAAAACTCGTGTGGTAGGAATACCACTTACAAGTCTCCTGTCTCTGTATCACTCTTTGTCTCTCTCTACCTCTGTCTCTGTCCTCTCTCTCTCTCTCTGTCTTTTTTTTTTTTTTTAATTTTTGCTTTTTCGAATTTTTTAAGGTGAGGCATTTTACAGGGACTTTTGGCTCCTCCTAGGTCATTATCTTGTTAATAATCCCCTCTCCTCCTCCCAGAACAGCCCTTCTTCAAGAGACAGACAGCTCCATGACTCCTGCGATCTAGCCATTTGGGAAAAAGGAAGATGTCCCACTGATAACTGGGCCTCCAGCATACAAAACTCGTGTGGTAGGAATACCACTTACAAGTCTCCTGTCTCTGTATCACTCTTTGTCTCTCTCTACCTCTGTCTCTGTCCTCTCTCTCTCTCTCTGTCTTTTTTTTTTTTTTTAATTTTTGCTTTTTCGAATTTTTTAAGGTGAGGCATTTTACAGGGACTTTTGGCTCCTCCTAGGTCATTATCTTGTTAATAATCGGGGGGATAGGCATAGAAAGCAAACAGGGATAACAGAGACAATGGGAAGAGGGTTGGACAGGGCAGAGGGTTAGGGATAGGGAATCAAGGATGGCAAAAAAGAAAAAACTCAAAATATACAAGACATAAGAAATGGAAAATTGTTTGTTGATAACACATATGTTGATGTACTTGATTGAGCCAACAGACAATGTATTTTGGACGAAAAATTCATTTTGTATACTGTAATGATGTATAGCATATTAATGTTAAAAAATAAAAACAAATAAAACCAAAAAAAAAAAAGAATAAAAAAAAATATATCTTTAGGGAAGCATGGTAGTTAAGGTGCTAGAATCCCTCATGGCCAACTGTGGTTCAAGTCCTGGACCTGGTGGCTCGAAAATCACACCAGGAGCATGTGCATATGTGCCCAAAATCCCAGGAAGAGAATGGAGGAGGAGGGATTGTGGCATGGCCATCCCCTACAGGGGGTGACTTCCCACTTGCCCTTGCACTGTCTCTGTCTGTCTCTCTCTGTTGAGTGCACGTACCCTATGACAAAACAAAAACAAACAAACAAATCCTTACATAAATAAATAATTTAGGCCTGGGGCAGCAGATGGCATGGTGGTTAAGGTGCTAGATATCACATGGCCAACACCAAGGTTCAAATATTGGACCCAGTGGCTTGAAAAATCACACCGGGCATGTGTGCATGAGTTTCCAAAATCTCAAGAAGAGAATGGAGGTGAAGGGATTGTGGCACAGCCATCTGCCTTGGGGTAGGTGAATTCTCCCCCAACACTATCCACCCCTCTGGTAAGTGTATGTTCCCTATAACAAAAACTTTTGAAAAAGCAAAAAGCAAAAGACTTTAGGGTTGGCCCCATAGTGCAGAGGTTAAGCCCTGTGCATAGAGAACCAGATCCCACATGACCAACCGTAGTTTGAATACCAGCCCCAGAGGCTTGAAAAACGTGCAGGGCATATTAGTATGCAAAATCTTGACGGGATGGAGAAATAGAGAAAAAAAATATTGTAGAGGGACCATGCCTGTTAAGGGATCACTTCTCTCTCTCTCTGTCTAGT